ATTAGCCTTTTATTATATAAGATAGGTACTTATTTATTGCCATTTTTATTCTCTATGCCTCTGTTCCTCTCTCTTTTAATTTCTTCTTCTTATAGCAGTCCCTTTAATATTTCTTGCAATGCTGATTTGGTGATAATAAACTCCTTTAGCATTTTTCTGTCTGTAATGTTCTTTATTTCATCTTCAATTTTGAATGATAGCCTTGCTGAATGAGTTGGGCTGAGATCAGGCTGGCAGGGGTGAGATCAGGCTGGCAGGGGTCTTGGTTTTGGATCCTTGCTTTTCATTACTTTGAATACTTCATGCCGTTCCCTTTGGTCTGTAGTGTCTGTTGAAAAATCAGCTGACAGTCTAATGGGAACTGCCTTTTAGGTAACTAATTGCTCTTTCTTGCTATCCTCAAGATTCTCTTGGTCTTCAACATGTGCCATTTTTATTATATGTCTTGGTTCATCTTAATTGGGACTCTCTGTGCTTCCTGAACCTGTATGATTTTTTCCTTCACCAGTTAGGAAAGTTTTCTGTCATTATTTCTTCAAAGAGGTTCTTGATCCTTTGCTCACTTATTCTCCTTCTGTTACTCCTATGATGCAGATGTTGTTATGTTTCATGCTGTCCCAATGCTCCCTTAAATTATCCTTGTACTTTTAAATTATTTTTTCTCTGCTGCTCTGAATGATTTTTTTTTACAGTTCTCTAATTTGCTGATTCAATCTTCAGCTTCCTCTAACTTATTATTTATTCCTTCCAGTGTATTCTTTATCTCAGCTGTTCCATTCTTCATTTCTGATTGGTTGTTTTTCATGGTTTCTGTGTCCCTTTTCATGCTATTAGGCATTCTTTAAACTATTAATTTGAACTCTGTTTCTGATAAATTTCTTGCCTCTATTTCCTTTAGTTCTTTTAATGGTGATTCCTCCTGTGCTTTCATTTGGGTCATGTTTCGTTGTCTCCCCATTTCTGTGTATTGGATAGGACTGCTATAACTCCCAGTCTTGGTGTGGTGGTAATGGGTGTCTTGTGGAGCCCAGTTGTGTAGTCTCTTTAATCTTCTGAGATGGGTACTCATGAAATGTTCCTTGTATGGGTTATGTGGGCCATCCTATTGTATTTTGGTCTTGATTGCTATTGACATTTGTGGGTGGGCTCAGCCCTCAGGCTGGCTGACTGACCACATCATGACAACTGTTATACAAGTGCTGACCGAACAAAACCAGACAAAACAAGACCAAACTGAAAATAATGTGAAAACAAACACAAACCATCACCACCAAAAACAATCACAAATAATAAGAATAATAAAAAGAATACTAAAAGACAAAAGAGCAAAAGAATTAGAAAAAAAAAAAAAGAAACCAAAAAGGAGAATATGAAAGAAAAGAAAGAAAGAATCCTAATATATAAAAGACAAAAGAGAAAGAATCCTAATATATAAAAACCCAGGGTCCGTAACATCCAAAACGACCGAAGGCTTGACTGACTGTCGCTGCTGTAGGTGCCCCAACCCAGCACTGACTGCTGAGGGGACTGCAGATCAGTCTCCAAGAGAGGCACAGGTAGAGAGAAGTAGAGTCTGATCCATAGCCTCTGTGGCAGCCTGTTGATCAGCACTTGCCTCTCTCTTTCACTCCGGGCCTGGCTAGCAGCCACACCTCTCTTCCTCTTGGGCCTCTGCTGGGGCTGCTAATCTGCCCTGCCTCTCAAACAGTCCCATTGATAGGCCTGGAGACACTGACTGGCATAGAAACCAACAAATCTGGGTGAAGTGCAAGGAGCCAGTGGTTGCCTAGGAGGCGGAGCTTTTGACACTGACTGGCATAGAAACTGACCATTCAGAACCTAATCTGGGTGATCTGTGAAGGCAGGACCTAAGGTGAGGGCTCAGGAGGGGTATTTAAGGCAACAGCTATTTGGTGTAAGGTGTAAGTGGTTCAATTTTTTAATGACTAGTTTGGCAGTATAGTGCATATGGCTGGCTATCAGTCCAGATATAGGGGTTATGTATTTTTGTCTGCCAAGAGCATCTCCTCCTGCTGAAAAAGGCTTTCTTTCTCCCTGCTCCCCCCTATTTAAGCAATCCTGTCTTATATAATCTAACTATACTACTAAAAGGATAATATGCTAATTAGACCTGATCAACCGACCATCTTCTGGATGTCCAACTTCCTTCTGGACAAAGCCATGGTGGTGGGGGGCTGAGGCAGAAGATGTTAGGGGTGATCAGGCAGGCAGAAGCAGTTAGGGATGATCAGGCTGACAGGGGAGGACAGTTGGGTGCAACCAGGCCAGCAAGGGAGGGCAGTTGGGGGTGAGATCTGACTGGCAGGGGAGAGCAGTTGGGGGCAAGATCTGGCTGGCAGGGGAGGGCACTTAGGGGTGATCAGGTAGGCAGGCAGAGGTAGTTAGGGATGATCAGGCAGGCAGAGGCATTTAGGGGTGATCAGGCAGACAGGCAGGTAAGAGGTTAGGAGCCAATGGTCCCAGATTGTGAGAGGAATGTCCAACCATCAGTCAGACATCCCCCAAAGGGTCCCCAATTGGAGAGGGTACAGGCTGGGCTGAGGGGACCCCTCACCCCCATGCACCAGGCCACTAGTCCTATATAATAAAGGGCAGTGACCAGAATGACCACTTGGCCAGTTGCTATGAGTGCATTGACCACCTCTCAGTCCTTCCTCTGATCGCAGCCTGGCAAACAGGGAAGCATGGGGAACCAGGTGGGTGGTGGCAGGGCGGGACTGGGAACTGGCCAGCAGGCAGAAAGATGACCCTGATCGCAGGCTAGGCCTAGGGACCCTACTCATGCATGATTTCGCGTACTGGTCCTCTAGTAAGAACATAAAAAAGAAAACAAGGAAATAACTACAATAATAATGTTTAAAGTAATAATAAATAAAATATATAATAGAAACAGAAAAATAGGGAGAAAAAATAATTAGATGTTAAAAAAAAACGAAAAAAGAGAATATATGGAAAAAGAAATAAAAGACATGAAAGAAAAAGAAGAAAACTAAAAGAAAATGGAACACAAAAGAAAAAGATAAAATAATAAAAATAAGTGGAGTTAGTCTCCGCTGACTTGGAGGCTCACTGTGATTACCCTTTGGGTCTGCTATTTGTGGAACTCGCTGGATTTTACTCTGATGCAGGCTCAGTCTGGCCTCTTGGTGTGCGGTCTGGGCCTCCCCAGGGGTTCTCTGGTACAAGCCAATGTGAGCTGCTGTCTCTGCCTGGCTCTTGGCAGCCTGACTGAGCTCATTGGTGCAGACCCCATCCAGCCTGGTGGGCAGGGCTTTTCTGGCCCAGAGGCTGGGCCTTCTTGGGTCTCATACATTGAATGCCCCTGCTCGCAGCTTCTCTCCTTCCCCCCACAGAACTGGGCTCTGCAGTGGTTTCCAAAACGTGGCTGGGTGGGTTGAAACACACTTGCACTGCGGATGGTGCCCATAGCTTGTAGCAGGGGGAGGGCCGCTTTCTCTCCTTCCTCGGATTGTGCTGGCTGAACTCACTGGGGAGCTCAGCTCTGGTTCCCCTGATGCAGCTGAAGGGCCAGGACACGCCCGTCTCTCTCCCAGGCCATAGCCCATTCTGGTTGCAATGCCTCTGGCTCCCTGGTACCTTCTCGCTGCCACACCAAGCAGGAGGGGATAAAAACAGTCAGCCTGGCACGGCACTCCGGTCTCTAAGCGAGTCTCATCCTCGCTGGGAGGGGCCTCCACCCAGTCCCCCACCGGCCAATTATAGAGTCCCTCACACTGACAGTCGTAGGAGTGCAAATTTCCAGCCCAGAGGCCTTCCCCTTTGCCGGTTGCAGAAGAATGGGGAAGACCCAGCTGTTCTACAGGTGGGGGTAGGTTTCCACCTGTCTGCTCAAGTTGTGCAAGACGGATCCTCTTTTCCAAGCCACGCTGCCCAGCCCCCTTCCACTTTGCCCAAAGTTCTCCCAGGAGCAAAGGTCTGCTCAGATTTACTGCTGGGCGCACCAGTCAGATCCCTCCGCCAGCCCAGCTTTGCCACGCGGTCCCTCCCTCAGACATAAGTTGTAAGGAACGTCCCAGGTCGATGTTGGAAGAAAGAAAGTCTTCTTTGCCTGGGATGGTGCGTCTGAGACTTCCACGTGGACCGGACCGAATCCCCACTGATTCCCACTGCCCAATGCTAACGGGCTCTGCGGCTGTGCACGGGGGATCCCTGCGCCCGGCCAGAAGCCACCCTCCCGGGGTGGGGAGTGGTGGCTCTGGGGCTACCCTTCCTCCCACATCCCTCTCCCTCCCTCAGAGCGCAGGGGTGCGAGTGGCTGCCCTCTCCATGCTTCCTCTGTCCTTCTCCGCATCCCCTGCCCACATACTTAGACCGGCGACACTTCAGCTGGTTTATTTAAGACAAGTTTAGCCTCAAGACTGGTCGGATGTTGGGAGCAAGTGGACGAGCTGTACTATGTATTTCTGTAAGGTAACTCAAGTCTCTCTTCTTGAAAAGTCAATCATTTGTCTGTGTGAAACCCCAATGTCACTCATAAGGAGTTGGCCCACTCACAAATTCCAACTCCTGTCATTTTTGTTAGCTACACAAGTTTGATAAAACATAACTGTAAAATAGAAGCATTTATTTCATTTTGAAAACAAACAGACTAATAAGATTAAAAGTTGAAGCAACAACATGTTCTTTGGAAAAAAATTAATATAACATGCTCTATTGTATTTTGTGATTATTGGCTTTATTAACACAGCACAATTAATCTTAGATATAAAAATGTATAATTAACTATGTGATTATTACAAGTTAAAATGTATTCTCTGTTCCCTATGTTGCCATTTAACTGGAAAAATAAACCAACAAACAAAATCTTGCCATCTTACAATCCATTTGAAGTAGGTTGTTCAGGAATAACAATATAAAATAAATTGTAGGCTGGAATGTATTAAATTTTAGCAAAACAAAAAGGTTTAATCCAGGCTGGCTCATAAAGCTAGAAAATGATGTTTATGATTTTTGAAAATTCATTGGAACTTTTTCTCTAAGCTGGTTCCTTTGTGATACACTTTCTTCAGTTCTACCCACGACTGCCACAGTAACAGTCCTGGGACCAGAACCCACAGGCCATTGAAAAATACCAGATAGACCCACAAGTAGAGCCAATGGTTGGTGCTGAGGCTGGGGCTCCCCATAAGCCACTCCGGGGAGAAGGTCATCCACCCGCCATACAGTTCACACACGCACAGCGTGATCTGTATGAAGTGCCTGTGGGAGAGAAAGAGACTGGGGCTGAAACTGCCAGCGGGGCACCCTGCGTGCCCACAGCATCTACACAGCCTCCCGGACAGACACCTCCCTGCAGACACCCCAGTCTCCACGTGGTGCCCCTTTACAGTGCAAGCCGTCTAGCCGGGGAAGACCCCTCGAAGCAGCAGCACTGCCTCTCCAGAGGACGGTTCTCGGAGTGGAAGAGGTCTCTCCGGTATCCTCTTCTATTCTTAGGGAGATTGAACGAGACCTGGATGTGAATCTCGCTGTGATTCAATTTCACCTGCTGTAAAAGGGATGAGTCCCTTTCTCAAATAATCTTTTGGAGATATGTAAGATATGGTCCAGCCAGTGTGGCTTAGTGGCCGAGCATCGACCTATGAACCAGGAGATCACGGTTCAGTTCCCACGGTCAGGGCACATGCCTGGGTTGCAGGCTTAATCCACGGTGTGGGGTTTGCAGGAGGCGGCCAATCAATAATTCTCATCATTGATGTTTCTATTCCTCTCTCCTCCCTTCCTCTCTGGAATAAATAAATAAATATATTAAATATGAGTATTAAAAATATATTAAATATGAGTATTATTAAAAATGATACATGTAGACTGTCTAGCACAAAGTACTTAACAATGCAGATACTGTAAATGTTTGAAATAATAAACAAATGGGTGCATGTAGGAAGTCTACAATCAAGACCCAAGCTACCGGCCGGATGGCGCGGCAGCTGCCGCGAAGAGGAGGGGCCCCCGGGGAGGCAGCGCCGCGGCCACAGCTCCGACAGGCCCCGCCCGGGCCACCCTCTGGCCGAGCGAAGGCCTTGGTGAAGGCGGCCCCTGGTGTGATGCCCGCGGGAAGGAAGCCAGCTTCATTCTGGCACAAGCCCTAGAACTGTTTGTGGAAACTACTGCAAAAGATGCCTACTGCTGTGCTCAACAAGGAAAGAGGAAAACCCTCCAGAGGACAGATTTGGATAATGCAATAGTGGCTGTGGATGAGTTTGCTTTTCTGGAAGGCACTTTGGATTGATTACTGAGCTGGACACTTTTGTGAGCCTTCCTCTGCGTCCTTCAGCTAGCCCTCTGCAGGCCTCGGCTTTGAAGAACCGTCTTTGGAAAGTTGCACTATACATTTTCCTGTTCTAACTTTACCTAAGCTGGAATAACCTGCTACTTTCTCTGTACAAGGCCTCCCCTGGCTGTGTCTTCCATTTCTGCCGGGATGCAACCGCTGCTGCTTGGGGCAGAGACAAAGAAAATGGTCTGTGTTGGTTGCTTAATGAATGCAGGGACCAGAATAAAGGTCTCTGACCAACTTAAAAAAACACCACCACCACAAAAAACAAAAGGCTCTGCAGTCAAAGACATGGCAAGGCACCAAGGAGACGTTTTATTTTTACTGCTGAGAATATATGTAAAGTTGGGTGGGTGGGGGGGAAAAGTGGATTAAATGACCCTTGAGGTCTCTTTCAAATCTGAACTTTAATGATAAAGCTTTAAATAAATAAAATGCATTCAGTACCAGATAGAACACTGCCTGTGACTGCACCCAGCTGACAGTCAGGGAATCGCCCCCGGTCAGCACTCTATCCCCAGGTCACTGCGCGGAAGGAGGAGAGGAAGGAAAGGGAGGAGAGGCGGTTGAAAGTCCGAGTCTGATGGACGGTGAGTCATCCACGTTTCTCCTCCCTCTCCCCATACCTCTGCCTCCCTCAGATCCTCCATAACCTGGAAGAATTTCTTTTTTATTTTATTTTATTTATTTATTTATTTATTTATTTATTTATTTATTTATTTATTTATTTATTTATTTATGTTTTATTGATTTTTTCACAGAGAGGTAGGAAGAGGGATAGAGAGCTAGAAACGTTGATGAGAGAGAAACATCAACCAGCTGCCTCTTGCACACCCCCTACCGGGGATGTGCCCGCAACCAAGGTACATGCCCCTGACCAGAATCGAACCTGGGACCTTTCAGTCCACAGACCGACGCTCTACCACTGAGCCAAACAGGCTTCGGCCCTAGAAGGATTTCTTACTTATCTGGCATGTCTAACTCAGAATCACACAAGAAAATATATTTTGTAGCAAGTGGAATGGGAGTTTGGGGATGGGGAGAGGAGGGAAATATTACCCTTTTATCCTACAGAAGGTCGGTGCAAATCACCCAGTGCTACTAACCCCAGGCTTGCCTATGCAAAGCCTAGGTTGTTACCTCAATCATATTTCTCAGATGTTTTATTTTGAACTGTTTGAAATGGTCTTACTGGCACCATGACCCTTATCTAATAACAAACAATTCTTGTTTCTACTCTACTTCTTTGTCTAACAGAGAAATGTGATCATAATCTCCTTCAAACGTCATGCAAGCTTTGGGACTGCTAATGCTTCTCCTCTTTCCAGCAGGCTAGGAGCAGAGCACTTACCGATAATATTTCTCTTTGAGTATGGCGTACACCAGGACCACTGCCAGAAAACCATCCAGGGCCACAGTCAGAATTTCCACAGACACAATGGTTGGGTCAAAATGAAGCCATCTTGCATCAGCATTGCCATATTCTTTCCCTAAAAACAAAGCACACTTTGTTCCTTATCCTTCTTAGGACTTTTTCTGTCTGACTTACTTCACTTAGCATAATTCCCTCAAGGTCCATCCGTGTTGTCACAAACAGCAGGTTTTCCTTCTTCCTAAACGGCTGAAAAATATTCCAATATACAGCACATTTTCTTTACCCACTCATCAGTGATGAGCACTTAGGTTGCTCGCATGTCCTGGCTATTGTAAACAATGCTGCACTAAACCCGGGGATGCGGACATCCGAACAAACTCCTTACCCCGCCCCCTCTGTATCTTCCCACCCTGCCGGCCTTCAGCAAGACTCCTATGAGTGGGGCTACCATGAATCCTCCTAGGCTTGATGTTTCTTCTTAGTAATTTTCCTTTCACTCACCCACCTTGCCATAGCTCTCCGCCTCTCCTTGCTGTATCTGGAGTGGAGCCTGATCTCTCTCCTAATGCAAAGCCCTCCCCTGCGGTAGGTAGTCCCTCGTTTATTGTTGTTTTTTTAGTGCTGATTTTATTAATTTGTTTGTTTGTTTGTTTGTTTCTATTGTTGAGATTATTACAGATGTCCCTCTCCCCTCCCCCCCAGCTCCCATAGCTCCCCTCTAGCTGGTTCCCACCCAACCCCAGGCCCTCGTCACCCTATTGTCTGTGTCCATAGGTAATGCATTTGCATATGAGATCTTTGTCTAATCTCTTCCTTCACCTCCATCCTCCTTCTCTCTGAGAATAAAAAATATGAACAACAAAGTGACAACAAATACATATCTATTAACAATTGAATTCTAAAAATCAAATGAATTAAAAATCTGATGAACATAATAAATTGGTGAATGGAATAGAATCAGGGACACGGAAATGGAACAGACTGAAGGTCTCTCTTGAATAAAGTCTTTTTTACCATCTTTAACAAGTGTCATGAATAAGATTTTTTTTTTTTTTTTTTTTACAGCATCTACACAATGCTAACAGCCCAGTTCTACATTCTGCTGAATCTACAGAGTCCCCAGATCAACCCTGGGAGGCCTTCCCCAGACCCTCTGAATCAGAGTCTGTATTTTAAGTCTCAGGCAATTAGTGCTCTTTAAAGCCCAAGATGCACTACTTTATAATATCTATTGGCTTACAGCACTAGTTAAGTAAGCTTAGAGCACTAGTTAAGTATACAATTTTACCTACATGTTCCCAAAAATTCTAGTTTAGCACTTCTTAGTTGGGATTCAGGAATCTGTAGTTTAACAGCTCCACCAGGTGATTCTCACCATGAGAGAAGTTTGGGAGACACTGCTCTAGAATACAGGGCACTCCCATGAGATGAGTTTTCACTTTTTAAAGATGAAAATGTAAATTGAAGATTACTGCTAAGAGACTGGGTTAGACTTTACATTTCACGGGATTGAGCCCTTTCTCTGATGCCAGCCAGAGCAGCCCGGCTGAGGCCCTCAGCCCTGGGCTGCCCGGCAATTCTAAAGCGGTTCATTCCAGCTCACTCACCAGGGGGCAGCGCTGGGCCTGAGGGAGCTGGACTCCAGGCGCGGGGCTCAAGCTCACTGAGCTACTCTACTGGCCAGACCTGAGAGGCATCGAAGATGATCGAGCGAGAGGCAGCCAATCAATGATGCTCATCACTGATGTGCCCCTCTCTCTCTCTCTCTCTCTCTCTCTCTCTCTCTCTCTCTCTCTCTCTCTCTCTCTCCCTCCCTCCCTCCCTCCCTCCCTCTCTCCCTCTCTCTCCCCTTCCCCTCCCTCTCTCCCTCTCTCTCCCCACCCCCTCCTTCTCCCTCTCCCTTCCTCTCTAAATCAATGTTTTGCTTTAAGAAGTACTACCTGTGGCTCCATTATCTAGCAGAGTTTCCTAACTAGTGATAAGTAGGAGTCCCAACACAGATCTGGTGTGTGTGTGTGTGTGTGTGTGTGTGTGTGTGTGTGTGGAATATGATTCAGAATCATAGAAGAAATGAGATAAACAATGAGGTATTTCAGGCACAAAATCTGAAAGAAGTTATCCTGAGCAAGGCAGCTGTATGGCAGTGCAAGGACCCTGTTGTTACACAGCTCATTTGTTTGTCAGTGTTGACATAGTACATGGGAGGCAGTCAATACTAACTGATTGAATGCTGATTCATAGTGAGCATGAGGAATATAAGAAAACTAGTTAATATCTCTGTAGAAGAAGATTTTTTGGAAATTATAAGACATATATGAAAACTGATATTAAAAGTATAAAAAAGCCCAGTTTAAATACTGTAAATTCTTCAACTTGCACTCACTATAAACATTTAAAATATACATTTATTAAGATACAATTTATGTGCAATACAATTTACCTACTTAAAGTGTGCAATTCGTCCAGCAGGGTTGCTCAGTGGTTGAGCATGGACCTATGAATCAGGAGGTCACAGTCCGATTCCTGGTCAGGGCATATACCCGGGTTGCAAGCTTGATCCCAATCGTGTAAGAGGCAGCTAATCAATGATTCTCATCATTGATGTTTCTCTCTCTTTCTTTCTCTCTCTCTCTCTCTCTCTCTCTCTCTCTCTCTCTCTCTCTCTCTCTCTCTCTCTCTCTCCTCTCTTTCCTCTCTGAAATCAATAAAATATATTTAAAAATTAAAAAGGGTACAATTAAATGGATTTTAGTGAATCACCACCATCTAATTTTAGAGTATTTCATTACCCACCAAAAGAAGCTTGTACCTTTTATCAGTCACTCTCCATTTCTCTCCAACATCCGTTCCGCCCCCCTCCCCTAGGCAGCCACTAATCTATAATCTGTCTCCACAGATTCACCTACTCTGGACACTTTCTATAAATGGAGCCATACAAGATGGGATACAGGTACTAATACAGTCATACTTGGAATAAATCTCCTCAAACTTTTCAAAGGTGAACATTTAAAATTACTTACACAAGGAAGCAAGGAAGCCATCAGAATCAGCAATGTTTCCCATGAAAGACAAGTAGACAAAAGAGCCTTCCTAGAGAGAAGAAAAGGGAAAAATGCTCTAATTTAGCATCCCCACCCCAGAATGGCACCACAGTGCGGGGCTCTGCCTGGGAGCATCCCCCCCCCACCCGGTGGCACCATCAGAGCGCCACCCTCACGGCACCCCGCGGGCGCTGTCCTGGGTGTGGCCCCTGACCTTGGAAATGGTTGAATCCAAAGCTAATGTTTATATAACGAATGCTATTTTTCAGTGATTGGCATTATAAAATAAGAGGTATATTCTTATGGGGGGAAATAAGTTGAAAATTTTCCACAAGGAAAGAGCTTAAATGCTAGGTTAAACGGCTGAATTCTGGATTAGTCTGACAAACACACTTTTCAGGAGCACCTCCCAGCACTCCATTTTGTCTCACTTCACAAAAAAGTCCAAAACCTCTCTTAACAAAAGTGGCATTCAAATATCTATATCATATTTAAATTAGTTATTTTTCCTGCCTAAGGACAGACTTAGGAAAAATTTAAATGCTTACAGGCTACATTTTAAATTTTAGGTGATGCAATATTTTCAATTACACTTAGCATTTCCCTATTGCTGATGTATTTCTTCGGACTAAAGTTTCAAAAACCAATGAACTAAAATTCACTGGGATATTTGATTGTCATGTTGCTTCTTGGAACAAATTCTGTTGCTGGTTAATACTACTACCTTTTTTTTCTCATTTGTTTTTACCAAAGCAATCACTTATCTCTATATATAAAACCCTAATATGCAAATAGACTGAATGTCAGAACAACCGAACAACCAGTTGCTATGAAATGCGCTGAACACCGGAGGGTGCATGTGGAACATGGCGGTGTCAGCAGAAGGCGGAAGAGCACAGAACATGGCGGGCATCGGCCAGGGGGGATGGTGGAGCAGGCGAGCGGGGCCACCAGACCAACGGGGTGCTGGTCCCTGGGGCGAGCTTCTCGTGTAAGGTGACCAGACGCCCTGCTTTTGGAGGGACAGTCCCGATTTTTAAGTTTGTCCTGCGTCCCGCGGCGTTTTGAAAAACTCCTGATTTTTGGAAAGAATCTTTTAAATCTTTTGGACTTTTTTAAAATGCTGCGGGACGTGGGACAAATTGTTAAAAATCGGGACTGTCCCGCCAAAAAGCGGGACGTCTGCTCACCCTACTCTAGTGCAGTGTTTCCCAAACTTTTGACATATGGGTACCCCTTCTATAATTTTTGTAACGCTGAGTACCCCTCGTACTCGTGAGAACGTAGAATTAGGCGCAGCTAAGCATGGTGCAGTGCATATTCCCCACCAAACTCCGGTGCAACGCGCACCCCCCCCCCAACTCTTCCCGTACCCCTGGGGTTACGCGTACCACACTTTGGGAAACACTGCAGTGGTTCCTGAAAATTCTTTGCTCCTGTGCAACACAGTCCCGCCTGGTGCTCACACCCACTGCCGGCATCCAGGGCTGGTCTCGATTGCTTGGCACCGTCAGCAGGTGCGAGTGGTGGCTGCTGGTCCCAATTGCCCCTCAGGGCTTCTCCACCTCCCCCTGCTCCTGAGGGGTGATTGGGGCTGGCAGTCACCTCTTGCACCTGCTGTCAGTGCCAGCCCCACTCACACCCACCGGAACCCAGTGGTGGTCCCAATCACTTGGCATCATCAGCAGGTGCAAGTGGCAGCTGCCGTTCTGATCGCCCCTGAGGGCTTCTCCACCTCCCCCTGCTCCTGAGGGGCGACTAGGGAGCAGCTATGCTCACACCTGCTGATGGTGCCAGCCCCACTCACATCTGCTGCTGGCGATGGCCCCAGTTGCTTGGCGCCGTCAGCAGATGTGAGTGGGGCCAGTGGCATCAGCGCATGGGAGCAGCAGCGGGAGCAGGGCTGCCGGCAGCAGGGGACTGGCAGGCAGGGACCAGCAGGCAGGGGACCAGGGGCTGTGGCGGGAGGGACCAGGTGGGGGCACAGAGGATGGGCCGAGACCTGCCCCTGTGCCCAGTGCAGTCTTGCGGCCCACAGTTCCTTTCAGGGTGTATGAATTTGTGCACTGGGCCTCTAGTATGACATTAAAATTGTGTCTCTGACTAATCCTTGCTCATTTCTAGTACCACTTCCCAGAGGTTAGCACTTATAACCACTTCTGTCTGTAGTTCTGGGGATAATCTCCATGACTTACACTATTCCTCCTTCCCTCCCTTTTTTTGTTAATCCTCACCGGAGGATTTTCCCAATGATTTTTAATTTTGTTTTTTGGTTATTCCTCATTTGAGGATTACGGGCTGGGGGATCACCCCAGTAAGTGTAGTGCCCATCTGTGAGAGAGAAGCTTACTGCCTGTGTCCTAACCAGGCTGGGGATCCAACCTGCAACCCAGGTACCTGCTCTTGCCTGGGAATTGAACCCCTGGCCCTTCTGTGCGCAGGCCGACACTCTAACCACTCAGGAACACTGGCCAGGGCTACAGTGCTATTTCTTTAGATATTATCTACTAACTGCACATTTGGGGTGGCATGTTCTGAACCCATTTGGTAGCTATATTATTCTCTTTAGTTCTGTTGGTTACTCATATTTATGATTAAAATAATAACCTAAAAACCTCAGCTTACTCGTCCATCAGTGTTGTACAGTATTTGGGCTTCTTACTACATAAAACAAACATGATAGCGCCCATAAAGCTTTTCCCCTCTCCTCACCATTTCCAACACTCAACTTTTGTCCACTTTCCTTATACGTTGTTAAGATTGATTATATTTCCATTCTTAGCTCCACATGTTAACTATTAGGAAAGAAGGAATTTCATCATTCCAGAAACACCTGATACATACACATATCCAACTGACTTAACATACAGACCTGGATGATTATTGAACATTTTACTTTCTATTTCTTTCTCAATACTATAGACCAACCATTTTCAATCTATTTCATCTCATGGCACATATAATAATTACTAAAATTCTGTGGCACACCAAAAATATACATATTTTTGGCTGACCTGACAAAAAGTAGGTATAACTTTGATTCATTCACACTGGGTGGCTATTGTGTTGGATGTTCTCATTTCTTTATTTGATAACCTAAGGGACAAGAGGTCAGTGCCCTTGACTGGACAGATCGCATGCTTTAAAAATTCCTGTGGCACATGGATTGAAAATCACTCTATAGATATTGATTTCACATTAGCCACGGGTTTGCCTGGATTTAAGCAAGGTCAAACTTGCAAAAAAAGATATTTTGGCATAATTAAAGTAACTTGAAGAAAACGTGTGTGCAAGGGGAAGAGGTATTTTAATAGGATTCCCTCAACTACAACCCTCCTGGCCATCTGTAAAAGGAGCTGTTTCAGGGGCAGCTGCCTAAAGCCTGGTGTAATACAGTGGGAGCTTCAGAGCCAGGCTGAACAAGCTCACAAGCCAGCTCGGTGGCACTGCAAAGCCACCCAGCTCTGCGGGGCCTGATTTCTCCTCTGTAAAGTGGGGACGGGAGTAACTAGTCCATGGGGTGTTGTAAAGATACAAACATTTATACACAGGATCATGCATGGCACACGTTCGTCACCCAATAAATGGGATGGCTATGAAGGCACGCGGCGGCACTGAAAACCCCCAATTATTTTCAGGTCCACATTCAGGGTAGGTTACAAAGCCAAGTAAGCCAAGGCGTTGAATAGCTCACGCTCAAACTAATATAACAGGGCTCAGAAATCACTATTTTCAGGCTTTCATTTAGTTTTTTTTTTTTTTTTTTTTTTTTTTTATGAACCACTAAGGAAGCTGCGCTGTGTTCAGAGACGGGAGGCGCAGCCTCTGGCCAAGGCCGGGTACACTGCGGCTCCCAGCCCTCCCGCCCGCCCGGGGACGGCGCCGCCCACCGGTCCGTCCTCTCGGGCGCCCGGGCCGCGGCGGCCGACCCGGGAGGGCTCGGCGGGGCACTCACCAGCGCGCCGTGCACCAGGGCGTCGGCGCAGAGCCAGGCGAGCGCCGCGCGGTCCGCCGCCGCCCGCCCGCGGCCCAGGCGCAGGCCCAGCGCGCAGCCCGCCGCCAGCAGCGCGGCGCTCAGCAGCAGCGGGCCCGGCGCCGCCCGCACGCCCATGCCGCCCGCCTTCTGCCGGCGCCGCCGGAAGGCGGGGTGGGGAGGGGGCGCGGGGCCGGGTCCCCGATGGGCGGAGCCTCTGGGCGGGCGGGCGGGGCGGGGCGGGCGGAGGCTTCCCTTCCCGCCCGCTCCCCGCTAACCAACCACTGAGCGCGGCTCTCTGCGCGCGATGCCGCTCGGGAGCTCACACCGCTGCCTGTGCCAACCTGTCCCCGACCAAACCCACAGGACGGGTCACATAGGGCCACACTTTTGTTGTTGTTAATCCTCATCCCAGGATATTTTTTTATTGGTTTTTGGAGAGAATGGGAGGGAGGGCCGGAGACACACAGGGAGAAACATGTCCGCATCGCTGATTGATTGGGTTGCTCCTGCAGGAGCCCCAGGAGGCCAGGCCGGTGATAGAGTCTACAACCCAGGCACCTGCTCTTGGCCAGAATGGAACCTAAGATCCTGCAGTCCTCTGGTGGGTGCTTTATCCGCTGAACCAAACCAGCCACACTTTTTTATTTTTAAAATACTTTTATTGATATCAGAGAGGAAGGGAAAGGGAAAGAGAGATAGAAACATCAATGATGAGAATCATTGATCAGCTGCCGCCTGCACATTCCCTACTGGGTGGGGATCGAGCCTGCAACCCGGGCATGTGTCCTGACCAGAATCAAACCCACGACCTTTCAGTCCGCAGGGCTATGTTCTATCCACTGAGCCAAACCGGCTAGGGCCAGCCACACTTTTTAATGCAGTTTTATTTTTAACCAGGTTCAAAACCTTAACCTACAAAGTAAAGCTCAAATGGTGTAAATTTTGCCAACAGACTGGGTAGAATTTTTGGGACAAAAGGTTCTAATTAGTCCCTTGCAAGACTTGCAGGAGAGGTGATGGCCAAGGGAGTTTTCAGACACCAGCAGGCCTTTTAAAGCCCTTGTGGCTTACTCTGTCCACATTGCTTTAAAACCCAGAAAAGCATTGAAAGTATGGGGGAGACCGATTGGAGGAGAAACCAAGATGGTGGCGTAGGTGAGCAACTGGTCTGCCGCTCCCACAACAATTTAAAAATTAAAACTAATATGAAGGACATCTATCATCCAAAACCACAGGAAGGAGGTACTGGGTAGTTCATAGTCAACAATTAACATGATAATAAGAGCAAAGAGGGATCAATGGGGCTCTTAAAATGTGACCAGCTGGAGAAATGGAAAAATGGCAGGCCCGGAGCAGCAGCAGGCAGGCCCGGAGCAGCCAGACCTGGAGTATCCAGGCCCAGAGCAACCAGGCCCAAAGCAGCCAGGCCTGGAGCAGCCAGAACTGGAGCAGCAGCAGCCAGGCCTGGAGCAGCAGCAGCCAGGCCTGGAGCAGCAGCAGCCAGGCCTGGAGCAGCAGCAGCCAGGCCTGGAGCAGCAGCAGCCAGGCCCGGAGCAGCAGCCAGGCCCATAGCAACCAGGCCCAGAGTGTTGTGGGGTCGAACCCTGGGTTCAAAATGAAAGGGAAGGAGCAATGCAGCCAATTCGGGTACCAGAATGTTATGTCCGTCATCACAATGGACTCAGAGAAGCTCCTGTGTCCCTTCACCCAAAAGGACTGAGAGTTGCCCAGACGACAGCAAAGTGGGAGAAGAAAACTGAAGGCTACGCAAGGAACTGAAGTGCCAACATGGAGTCATCTGAAGAAATTAAAGGCTGAAGTGGAAGCTACTTCTTTAATCATGTTCCTGCTCATGCTAGCATCTGTTAGCTTCCAGTCTTCTGCAAAGTCTTGTGCAGCAAGTCCAAGGATTCTGAGTAAATCTACACCAGCAACAAAGGAGACTCATTTAGTAGCTAAAAATATTAATATGTCCATAATTCTGATTTTTCATTTTGTTGTTTTGCATTGGCATTGTTGTTATTATTTAATAGCCAGAGTTTTGCTCTTGACATTCAAGTTTTGAAAATAACATGTATGTGGTTTAGTTTTTGCAAAAAAAAAAAAAAAAAAAAAGAAAGAAAAGAAAGAAAAGAAAGTATGGGGGAGCCCAGCCGAGCATTAACCTCTGAACCAGGAAGTCACAGTTCGGTTCCCGGTCACGGCACATGGCCTGGGTTGTGGGCTCCATCCCCATTGTGGGGTTACAGGAGGCAGCCGATCAACGATTCTCTCTCATCATCAATGTTTCTCTCTTTTCTCCTTTCCTCTCTGAAACCAACAAAAACATTAAAAAAAAAAAAAAAAAAAAGTATGGGGGAGAGGAGCAATAGGTCAAACCAGCTCGTCGTTACCTTATTTTCCGGCGTGTAAGACAACTTTTGAACCGAAAAAAAGTCAACCGAAAATCGGGGGCAAAAGACCAAAATTGCACAAAAATTGCCTGCAGATCTTGACGGCAAAGTAAGTCTTTTCTTTGAAGTGGGAGGTAGTCTTATACAGCGAATATAGGCCTAAACCTGTTTTAACTGTAAAATTAGGGGTTTGTCTTATACACTAGAAAATACGGGTAGTAGATGCTTTCATCTCCGTTATCTCACCTAACATCCCAACAACTCTGGGAGGTGAGTGTTTTCCTATTTACAACATGAAAACAGGCCAGGCAGGCCGGAACTGGATCCATGAATGGCTGTCCCAAGGCCTTTGCTTTTGACTCTGCACTCTGACATATGAATGACAGTTATAGCTCTCCTCTGGGGAAAGTGCCACTTTATCTCCATCATGTTAACTGTCCTCTTTACTTTTGCTAACATCTTTTTCTTCTTTTTATTTGCTCTTAACTGTCTTCCCTGCTCCCTTACTTAGGCCTCTGCTATGTAGATACTTAACCCTGGATAAAGGAGTCAGAGTTTAAAAAGATTGCAACCCTTATTGACCATATCTGTGTTTTTAATTTTGGGTATCCAGGGGAAATATAGGATACTCAGTTAAATTTTAATTTCAGATAAAAAATGAGTTACTTTTAAAGTATATATTTATACTAAAGTATCACTAGGGCACTTATGCTAAAGAAGATTATTTGTTGTTTTAAATATGTGGTATATACACACAATGGAATATTATTCAACCATAAAAAGGAGGAAATTCTGACACGCTACTACATGGAAGTATCTTGAGGACATTGTGCTAAGAGAAATAAGCTAGTCACAATCCTGAAAATAGAATGGTGACTGCCAGTGACTGGGGAGAAAGGTCATTGTTTAATGGCTATAGAGTTTCAATTTTGCAAGATGAAAAGGTTCTGGAGTGTTGGTTCACAATGTAAAAATACTTAACATACTGCATTGTACACTTAAAAATAGTTAAGATGGCAAATTTTGTTATGTATGTTTTACCACAATCAAAAAAATTCTTCTGGACTGTACACAAGTTCAGTAACTTTCTCCTCTAGTTACTCCCTATATCATTTTTAAAATTTTTTAAATATATTTTTATTGATTTCAGAGAGGAAGGAAGAGGGAGAGATAGAAACATCAATGGTGAGAACCACTGATTGGCTACCCATGTCCCCCACTGGGAACCATGTGACCTCCCGGTTTATAGGTCAACTACTGAGTCATTCGGGTTGGGTTCCTATATCATTTTTATATAGCAGATAAAATTATTTATTTACACACTTATTGCTAGGCTCTTGCCATTAGAATATATGCCCCACAAGGCCAGGGGCTGTGTCTGGCTTGTCTACTGTTGTGTCCTTTGCATCTATTAGGTAACTGATGCCTGAAGGAGTATGGTCAATTCCGTTAACTTAGAAAACTTGAGATCGCTTTTTAATATATTCAACATCTTTCTCAACTGGATTTCCCTACCCATTACCCTATATTACTCTTTAGTGACTACCCTAAACTCCCCTTCAGAGTAAAATAAAAACTCCAGAAACTAATTAGATTCACTCTTTTCATATTCTGTTCTTGATCTTTAGTTCTTCTCTCTTTACTGAAGTCCGTTCTGACTTTAGTTGTTTTTGAAATTGTTGTGCGAGGCGGCAGCTTAGGTGCTTATGGGGTTCAGTACAGTCCTCCACCCTCTTTACTGCAGTGGCGCAGCTGTAAGGTGACCAGGGACCTGCAACCTCACCCTCCAGGACATCCCGGTGGAAGGCTGGAACTCCACAGCAATTACTACCAAAGCCTGACTCACTCAGATGCTGAACCCAGACAGACTCATCCTTACCCCTGCTTTCATAGCTACCAGAAACTGGCAGAGGATTCAAATAGCCTGGCCCTCTCCTCTGAGCTCCAGACCAATATTTCCAACTGCTCTACTTGACAGTTTTACAAAAAAAGCTTTACAACAAAATTCCATTCCCTGCAAGTCTCTTCCAGTGTTCCCTCTCTTAGGCTACTTCCGTTTATCCATTATGGCAATCCAGAAACCCATACATCATCTTTGACACTTGCCTCTTCCCAAACTCCAGATCCGAGGCACTGTCAATTCCTGTCCATTTAGTTGCTAAGTATCTCTTGATTCCACCCACTTTATGGACCACACTATTCACTATCTCCTGCTTCAGTGCTTTACTCTCACTAATGTGATCTCTGCACATCACTAAACACAGAGCACATTTCCTGTTTTACCTTACCAGCCAGTGATTTTATTAAACACAATTTTTATTATATATCATTGCTCTTTTTAAATATCTCATAGAATTGCTCGTAGAATACCAACATCCTTTATGTGACTTACCAAGTTGTGGGGTCTAAATGCTACTTACTCTTCAGCCCCTCCCTTGCTCCCAGTATGCTGCTTCATTATTTTTTTTATTATTATATATTTTTTATTGTGGTATCACATAATTGTCCTCATCCCCCATTCCCATCCCAAACCCCTCCCCACATATGCCCCCGCCCCCCTGTTGTCCATGGCCACTGGCCAGGCCCATATGCATGCACACAAGTCCTTTGGTTGATCTCTCCCCCTTACCCCCACCCTCCCCTACTTTCCCTCTGAGGTTTGAGAGTCTGATCACTGCTTCTCTTTCTCTGGGTCTAGTTTTGTTCATCAGTTTATGTTGTTCATTATTTCCTCTAGATGTG